GGGGGGGATCGAAAACTAGCTAAAGGTTAACGAAGCGTTTGGTCGGATAGACATATGATCACCAATCTTGCCCCACTTTAGGCTTCTGGAGACGACGATTAGTCGAAACGTAAGGCCACTGATAATAAAGATTCACGGCAAAACCTCGTATTGGCATAGAACACACTGAAATATCGTAACAATGCCGAGGTTCAAACAAGAGAGGACCTGCAAATTAATAAGGTGACAGTCCTATTTGTTCCTAAATGTCTCAAATCAACTTCATAATATATGTACTGGGTTTGCAAATGAGATTTACACTCGAAACACTCCAACCGAGACCTCGTCATTACTATTATTTGAAAAGTGCGTTGTTGAAAAACTCCTATCAAATCATCATAATTAAGATATTGAATACAAAGAGCTCTTACTAACCAATTAACGTTTTCGAAGCCTCAAAGTTCATACGAGTCCTTCAGTAAGTAACGCAATACGTAATAATGTGTTTAGTGTTAGGAACGTAGAGATTTCACCTTACAAATCATTCAAAAGAAATAATTATTGCAGAACTTGATTTGGTTCGGAGCACAGTTCTACAATGACTAGACGGGAATAAAACATACCCGCAGTTTATCGAAGCTAGACTTGAAGCTTTGAAACAACAATGGAGATTAAAACGCTGCTGAGAAGAATTATGCACAATCACAGATGAATTAGAGTGTCTGTAGATATGTCTACTCTCTTTAAGGAGTCTTTGATTAATGGTATCTACAAAGTAGGCGCAGCCGTCTTCTCTTTGTAGAGGACTAGAGGCTTATTGTCCGCATCGACTGGATCAATCCGTTGTTCCACAGGAGAATTCCAAGCCTGTACGTCACCTAAATTTTCTAGCAGAATTAAGGGGTTTGATAATCTGATAATGTTGGGCAACAACCTGATCCCCAACTGGCAAATAAAACCGCAGAGATTAGGGTCATAGCGGAGTACACCAGAAGGATTCCTTGCCATTCTTCAGCACTTCCCTTAAACGTAAAAAAGTCAAATCATAATCATTTTCGCATATGCAGAAAACGAGCCTAAAAATATGTAAAAGCAAAGCGCGATTAATTAAAACCATCTTTATTTGAAAGTGTATGAACTAAATCTATAACCACAAATAAAGAGAGCGAATAAATAAATAGACTATTTTTCTTTGGCCCACTCAAACTCGGCATTTTAGTACTAATTGGTACAAAAAAAAAACAGAATTCGCGGCACATTTGAAGGCTACG